CCCATCCCCATCTCATCCCCATCCAATCCTAATCCCATCCCCACCCCATCCCCATCCCCACTCCATCCCCATCCCCTTTTCCAGCTCACCCACAGCCAGGATCTCCCGGCACTTGTCACACTGATCCTTCATGCGCAGGCATCCGGCCGAGTTCCTCCGGATCTCCCGGCACACCATCCGCTCGTCGCTGAAATTCCTGGACTCTGCTGGAAGCCCAGTGCCGCCTCAGCACCCCAAAACCCCCCAGGGCACCCCCCCAACTCCCCAGTATGCCATCAAAGTGCTTTTCCCACGGAATTTTGACACCTTTTCCCCCAGGGCTGCAGTGGCAGCCGGTGACGGCACCAGGTTGCAGCAATCCCAAAATAAACAGCTTCCCAGGATGGCAGCAGCTCCAGCAGCCAAGATTGGAGTAGGACAACATCCCAAAATCCCAGCCTGGCTCTCTAAAGAGCAGAGTCTCTGATTCTTGTGCTCCCTGGGGATTCTCTGATTAGCTCATCCTCTTGAGTTCAAACAAGAAGGAGGAATTTTCCAGGAAGCTTATCCATAAACAAGCTGCTTCCAGCCAAACTGGGAATCCCATAGCACCCATCCTGCTGGGATACACCTTTACCTGGACCAAAGCCACCCAAGGGAAGCTCCAGGCTGCTGTGGGCATCCTCCAGCATCCTCTGTGTCATCTCAAAGAGAGGCTGGAACAGGTGGTGGAATCCATGGTGAGGATGCTGGAAAAAGGGATGAAGATCCCGGGAAAACCTGTGGCTGCGCTGGGGGAAGCGAACGTGCTGGACTGGGGGCCGGAAAGCCTCTCGGAAGCCACCAAAAGGGGCTTGGAAAAAGGGATACATCCGGCCATAGACTTGGGTGCTGTCCTGGAAGATGTCCTCAATCCCATCTTCCAGCAGGCCAAAACGTTCTTCCAGGTCTTCCAACTGCTTCTCCTGGCGCTGGTCCCGCTCCAGCAGGGAGTCAATGCGCTCCCCATTCACCCAGATGGAGAAGGGTGAGGAATGGTTGAGGAATTCCTCCAGCTGAGCAGAAGGGGAGTGGGATCAGGGAAAAATCCAGCAGCAAGGGCAGTGGGGATATCCCCAGGGCAGAGGGACACAAGAGGCTGGGGTCAGGAATGGCCCCTGGATCTGGGGCAGGGATATGGGGAGATAGGTCTGGGGTACTGGGAATGGCCCTGGATCCAGGGCAGAGATATGGGGAAATGGGTCTGGGGTCCTGGGTCTGGGGCAGGGATATAGGGAAGGTGGGTCTGGGCTGCTGGAAATAGCCCCTGCATCCGGGGAAGGGCCATAGGGAAATGGGTCTGGGGTACTGAGAATGGCCCTGGATCTAGGACAGGGACATAAGGAAATGGGTCTGGGGTGCTGGGTCTGGGGCAGGGATATAGGGGAATGGGTCTGGGGTGCTGAGAATGGCTCTGGATCCAGGGCAGGGACATAGGGAAATGGGTCTGGGGCACTGGGTCTGGGGCAGGGATATAGGGAAATGGATCTGGTCTCCTGGGAATGGCTCCTGCATGCGGGGGAGGGCCCTAGGGAGATGGGTATGGGGTACTGGGAATGACCCCGGACTGGGCAGGGCCGTGGGATGTTCCCGGCCGCGGAGCTGACCTGGCGCCCCACGAGGCCGGAGCCGCTGCGGCAGG